AGATTTGTTGGCCAATCATATTTCTTCTTCTGTGAAGTGTCTGTTTAGTTCCTTTGCCCATTTATTTATTGGTTATTTGGGGTTTCGGTGTTAAGTTTTTTGAGTTCTTTATATATCCTGGAGGTTAATGATCTATCAAAGGTGCAGGTGGCAAAGATTTTCTCCCATTTTATAGGCTTTCTGTTCATGTTCTTGATTGTTTCCTTTGCTGTGAGCAAGATTTTTAATTTGATATCATCCTATTTATTGATTCTTGATTTTCCTCCTTGCACTTCCGAAGTCTTGTTGAGGAATTCAATTCCTAAGCTGACATGATAGAGATCTGGGCCAACTTTTTCTTCTAGTAGGCATAAGGTCTCTCTTGTCTAATGTGTAGGTCCTTGATCCACTTTGAGTTTTGTGCAGGATAAGCGATAAAGGTTTAATTTCATTTTGCTACATATGGATTTCCAGTTTTCCCAGCACCATTTGTTGAAGAGGATATCTTTTCTCCAATGTATGTTTATGGTGCCTTTGTCTAGTATGAGTTAACAGTATTTATATGGGTTTGTCTCTGTGTTTTCTATTCTATATCATGGTCTACATGTCTGTTTTGGTTACAACACCATGCCATTTTTGTTACTAAAGCTCTGTATTATAACAAGTTCTGGTATTGTGATGTCTCCTGCTTCATTTTTCTTGCTGAGGATTGATTTGGCTCTTTGGGGCCTCATATTTTTCCAAATGAATTCCATGACTGAATTTTCCATTTCTAGGAAGAACGTCATTGGAATTTTTTAAATATTTATTTTTTTGTAGTTGGACACAATATCTTTATTTACTTATTTTTATATGGTGCTGAGGATTGAACCCAGGGCCTCATACATGCTAGGCAAGTGCTCTACTGCTGAGCCACAACCCCAGTCCTCATTGGAATTTTAATAGGAATTACATCAAACCTGTATAGTGCTTTTGGTAGTATGGCCATTTTGCCAATATTTATTCTGCCTATCCAAAAATATGGGAGATCTCCATTTTCTAAGGTACTCTTCAATTTCTTTCTTTGGTGTTTCTTTCTTAGGTCATATTTCTTTAGAAATATTTTTTTGAGGCTATTGTGAATGAGATAGTTTTCCTAATTTCTCTTTCAGTTGATTCAGGAATGATGAATAAAAATGCAATTGATTTATGGGTATTAATTTTATACCCTGCTACTTTTCTGAATTCATTTACGTGTTTTAGAAATTTTCTGGTGGAGTTCTTTGGGTCTTCTAAATGTAGAATAATGTCATCAGCAAATAGGGATAGTTTGAGTTCTAATTACTCTGGCAGGAGTTTCAAGGGTGATTTTGAATAGAAGTGGTGAAAGAGGGCATCCTTGTCTTGTTACAGTTTTTAGAGAAAATGCTTTCAATTTTTTTTCCATTTAGAATAATGTTGGCCTTGGGTTTAACATATATAGTTTTTACAATGTTGAAGTTTGTTCCTACTATCTCTAGTTCTTCTAGTGTTTTGAACATGAGTGGATGCTGTATTTTGTCAAATACTTCTTCTGCATCTATTGAGATAATCATGTGATTCTTGTATTTAAGTCTATTTATGTGATGAATTACATTTATTGGTATTGAACAAATCTTGCATTCCTGGGGTGAAACCCATTTGATCATAGCATACTATCTTTTTAATATGTTTTATATGGGACTTGCCAGTATTTTATTGATTTATTTATGTTCATCAGGGATATTGGTCTCAAATTTTCTATCCTTGATGTGTCTTTATCGGTTTTTGGTATCAGGGTGATATTAGCTTCATAGAATGTGTGTTGAAGGCTTCCTTTCTGTTTCATGGAATAATTTGAGGAGGTTTGATGTTAGTATACATAAGGTAGAACTTGAAGGTCTGGTAGAACTTGGTTTAGAATCCTTCTGTTCCTGGGCTTTTCCTTGGTAGGCTTTTGATGGTGTCTTCAATTGCTCTGCTTGAAATTGATCATTTAAATTTTCTTTCTTTCTTTCTTTAGTTGTAGGTAAACAGAATGCCTTTGTTTTATTTATTTTTATGTGGTGCTGAGGATCAAACCCAATACCTCATGCGTGCTAGGCAAGCACCCTGCAGCTGAGCTACAGCCCCAGCCCAATCGTTTACATTTTCTATGTTCTCCTGATTCAATTTGGGTAGGTCATATGTCTCTAGAAATTTGTTGATATCTTCAAGATTTTCTATTTTATTAGAGTATAAATTTTCAAAAATAGTTTGATTATGGTCTGTATTTCAGTAGTGTCTGTCATGAAATTTCCTTTTTCATCATGAATTTTAGTGGTTTGAGTTTTCTCTTCATTAGCTTGGCTACGTGTTTATAAATTTTATTTATTTTTTCAAAGAACCAATTTTTTGTTTCATCATTTTCTTTTGTTTCATTTTCATTGATTTCAGCTCTGATTTTAATTATTTCCTGTCTTCTAATGCTTTGGTGTTGCTTTGCTCTTCTTTTACTAGGACTTTGAGATGTCATCTTAGGTTATTTATTTGGTGACTTTCTAACTTTTAATGAATAAGCTTAATGAATTTGCTTCTCAGAACTGCCTTCTTAGTGTCCCTTTGATATGTTGTATTACTATTCTCATCTACCTCTAAGTATTTTTTCACTTCATCCCTGAAATTTCTGCTATCCACTGGTCATTCAATGGCATTTTATTTCATCTCCAGGAATTATAGTAGCTTGTATTTTTTATTGTTGATTTCTAATTTCATTCCATTATGATCTGATAGAATGCAAGGCATTTTATCTCTATTTTTTGTATTTGCTAAGAGTTGCTTTGTGGTCTAAGATATGGTCTAATTTAGAGAAGGCTCTGTATGCTGCTGAGAAAAAAGCAAATTCAGTCATTGGTGAGTGAAATATTCTATATGTCTGTTAAATCAAAATAATTATTTGTATTTTTTTAGTTCTATAGCTTTTTAATTAGTTTTTATTTGGAGAATCTATCCAGTGGTGGAAGAAGTGTATTCAAGTCTTGCAGTAGTATTGTGTATGGTCTATTTGATTCTTAAAATTGAGACTCAATTGTGATGTATGTAAATGCTTCATTGTTTGGGGCACAAATATTTACAATTGTTACATCTAGTTGATGTATGATTCCCATAAGCAGTATGAAGTGTCCTTCTTTGTCCCTCTGATTAACTTTGGCTTGAAGTCCACTTTATCTGATAGGAGGATAGAAACCCTTGCTTATTTATAGGACCCATGTGAGCGATGTTTTTTCCCATTCTTTTACCGTCAGTCTGAGGGTGTCTTTGCCTATGAGGTGAATCTCTAGGAGACAGCATATTGTTGGGTCTTACTTTTTAATTCAGTCTGCCAGTATGTCTGTCTGTCTCTCCCTTTTGTTGGGGGGTGGGGCAGGCAGTGGGGTACCAGGGATTGAACTCAGGGGCATTCAACTACTGAGGCACATACCCACCCCTATTTTGTATTTTACTTAAGAGACATGGTTTCACTGAGTTGCTTAGTGCCTTACTGCTGCTGAGGCTGGCTTTGAACTCATAATCCTCCTATCTCAGCCTCAGGAGCCACTGGGATTACAGGTGAGTGCCATGGCACCTGGCAGTCTGTGTCTCTTGATTGATGAGTTTAGGCCATTTATATTCAATATTATTATTGAGAAATGATTTTTATTTCCTGTCAGTTTGATTTATTTGATTTTTAATTTGAATTAGTTTCTCTGGGGATGTGGCTCAAGTGGTAGCACGCTCGCCTGGCATGCGTGTAGCCCGGGTTCGATCCTCAGCACCACATACAAACAAAGATGTGTCTGCCGAAAACTAAAAAATAAATATTAAAATTCCAAAAAAAAAAAAAAAAGAATTAGTTTCTCCTTTGATTGGCTATTCTTCTAGTATAGTTCCTCCCTTTGCTTTCTTTTTGTTTTTGCTTCTTCTTCATGAAATATTCACCACTATTCCTTTGTACACACTATTCCCCTGGTCTGAAAGGCTCCTCTCGGTCTCTCAGCTTTTCTATCTGGCCAACTCCTACTCATCCACCAAGACCCACTGTTTCTGCTAAGTCTGCCCTAAACTGAGCTGACAGGCTCCCTGATCAAATCTCATTTGGCACCCTGTGTCTTCCTCTAACATAACACTTATGCTATTATCTCATTTGCACATCCCATAGAGCTCAAATTTAACATGTCCCAAAGTTTATATCTACTGATTTTTCTATGAATGGGCTTTAGCAGGAAATAAACCTTGAAAATCATCCATTCTTCCTCCTGAAATCTGGCCCTTGGTCAGGGGCACATGCTATTGAAACTCACCAACTCCATCCGACTTATTAAAATGCCCAGAGAGCAACCATTTGGTGTTAAAGTGCTATTAAATAAAATGCATATGCTGCTATAAAGGAAACTGTAATCACCACATGCTTCCTCCAAGGACAGGAAGAGGGCTGGACGGGAATAGTGACTGCAAAGTCGCTTCCCAACCTGTTCCACTGGTTACTATCGGCAAATTACTACACATCTAAGCCTCAATTTCCTGACTGGCAATTTAGGTGGTTGCCTACCGATGATCACCATGAGCCAGGTCCTGTTCTTGGTGTTTTCAATGTGTTAATGTATTCGATCTTTACATTGTGGTGTAAGGCTGATACTGTTGTCCATTTTACACTCGGAAACTGTGGCACAGTTAAGAACTGGCAGAACTAGGATTTCGACACCGGCACTTAGAAGTCAAGAGTTCCTGTCATAAAATCCACTCCGCCATCGGCTGGGAAATAATGCGAGTCCAGGGCGAGGACCGGGCATGGCAGAGAGGCATTCTTGATTGTCTTAAAATGCTGAACATCTCAGCCTGAAATCAAGAAATACGACGAAGCCCCGGGTTTTCCGCGTGGACTCAGCAAGCGTCTTCCCTCCAGCACGAAAGGGGAGGAGATGAGGCCACCAGAGCCGAGCCCCCTTACTCCGCACCGCTTCCGGGTGCCCTTCCTCCAGGAGATTCCCTACTCCACGTAGAAGCGGAAATAGCCAGTGGGCCAGAGCCCACTTCCGGAACTATTCCCGGCCTTTCAAACCCGGCAGAGACCGGGACACCCTTTCCCACGCCACCCCAGACCCGGGTTGACCTGTTTCCCGTGGGAGCCCCTCCTTGAGTGAAGGTTCGGTTTTCCTTGGGTGGAGTTTGCGAATCAGAGCTGCGTTTCCTCCATCTTTCAACCAATAGCTTCCGATGTTGTTTTTTTTTTTTTTTCCCCTTTCAGTATGGTAAAGTCGGTCCCTCCTCCCGACCAATGGAGGGCGCAAGAGTGCGTAGCGCGAAGACTGGGAAAACTGTTGGGTACGGAAGTGATGTCAGGCACCGGAAGTGCACGAGTTTGACGGACTGGGCTGGTGAGTTCCGGCTTCTAGGAGACTTATAATCACGGTTCCGCTAGGCTGTAGTGAAGAGGTTCGTTTCTTCCCGACAGCCTTAATGTTCAGATGAGAAAGATGAGGGTCCTAGAGGAAGGGGTTTCTCATATTCACTCAGCAAGAAACTCCCGAGACCAGCGCGCTTTCCACACGACTCCTCTGGGCGGAGGACTATCCCTGAGGTGGGCGTGGGTAGCGTTTCCCCTTGAGGAGTTCCCGAGGCTGATCTCGCAGAAGTGTCCCCATTCCACAAATGGGAGAAAGGAAAGCCCGAGAGGGACGTCCGGCATAAGGAACTTCCCAGGGCAAGGTTACCAGATTTAGCAAATAAAATGCAGGACTCCCGGTTAAGGTTGAATTTCAAATAAACGATGTGTAATGCCTTATCATAAGAATACCTCAAGTATCACATGGAACATACACATACTTAAAAACCACCCGTCGTATATCTGAATTCAAATTTAGCTGAGTGTTCAGAATTTTATCGGGTGGTCCTACCCAGGGTCACCTAGGGTAGCCATTGAGGTATCCTGTATGCCTATGTATGTCCCCCGGCTTAGGTCTCACCAAGTGTGGAGCTGGGTTCTTCCCAATAATTACCCTGAGGTTATTTTCAGCTCCCCTCACCCCCCAGCTCCTTCCAATGGTCACTGCACGTTCTAGGGCCACTCAGGAGCTAAGCAGAAGGGGCAAGATGCCCCTCCTTGGAATTCAGGGGTATCCTCCATCCTCTGAGCTAGTTTAAAAGACTAGTCAAAAACACTAAGGAACTGAAATGTGAGAAAGGGGCATGAGTTGAAGTCAGTAATGTAGACAAGGGTCTCCGGCAATTCAGCTTTTATTGGCATCCCTATGGGAATCAGCTGAAAGGTTTTCAGAAGAGGACTACCAAGATTGAATTTATTTTTCACAAAGACCCTTGGACCACCAAGAGGTCAGAACAAATCATCTTATAGGGCTTTAGCTGCTCATCTCATAGATGCCAGAAAGGACTTAAAATGCAGCAAAGGGAGGATAAAACCCCCATGCTATTGCCTCTCCTGTGGTCACTTTACAACTGGAAGGGCTGGCATGGACAGAGTTTCCAGGAAGTAGGGTGGGGAAAATGGCTCCCATGGAGAGATAACCTATTTCTGTGTCCCTCCTGAGCATGGGCATACAGAGATGACAACCTATCTCCCTCTGTCCCCATGGGCTAAGCCTGCCTTTCCCAGGGTCGGGGCAGGGTGCAGGGTTAAGGAGGTATGTGCTAACACCAGTCCATCATTTCTTCTGTCCCTATACCTTTTGATACTCTTTCATTTATCTTCCAAAAGGTCCTATCATGCTTGTGTTTCAGAAGCATACAAGGCTTCCTACTTCAGAATTGGCTTTCTCTTTCAAGGCCCTCAATGAGTCTTCTGCATTCAGCTCCTTGAGGACTGAGGGACTCAACTCTGCATCACAGTATCAACCACAAGGCCCCAGTAAGTACTCAATAAATGCCTAAGAAATTACCTTCCAATGCCATTTATTGTGTACCTAAGGATATGATAGGCCTTAGCATATCCATTTTCTTATTTAATCCTCACAATAACTCTGAGGTCAACATATTCAGCAGTCGTGTTTTACAAATGAGTTAATAGATTCAGACCGGTTAGGACCTGTTGTTGATTTGGCATATATTTCTGAGCATCTGCTCTGTACTGGGTGATAAGGACAAAGCAATGAAAAAATAAATTTGATTCCTGCTGCCAAGGAGCTCACATCCTACAGGGGCTGATGATACCCACACAAACATGCTGTGAAGTATGTCAAGTGGTGATAAATGCTGCAAAGAAAAAGAAAACCAGTTAAGGGGAAAGAAACTGGGAAGTACTGTTTTCTAAAGGGTGATTCTGGAAGGCTTTATATAAAAGGAAACTTTTGAGCAGAACCTGAATGAAGCAAGCAGTTACCACAGGGAGGATCATTGTAGAGAAAGGAGAGCGTAAATGCAGGCCCAGCAGTGGGATGTTTGAGAAATGGAGAGGAGACTGGTGTGATCAGGACCAGTGGGGCAGGGAGGAGTGGGAGTCAGAGGTCGTTGTTGAACTTTAAGTGTTATTGTGGGTGAAATGTAGTAACAGGATTTAGCTGCTGAGTGAGGGTGGCCTGTGCAAGGGAGGAGGGGACTCATCTGAGAGGGAGAGGGTGGGGGTCTATCTGTAGCTGTTGGGTCTGTTGACCTCCCAGAATGAGTGAACACACAGGAGCTTCAGAGGTGTGATGCAGGCAGGTGTAGGCAGTGTTGGGAGGAGGATGTCCCTCTTGAAGTCCCAAGGCAGATGGGTCTCAGGGCCTCTGCCAACAGACTGCTTAGCAGGGAGCTCCAAGGGGATAAATGCCTATGCAGCCAGGGCTCCGGGAGACCTCTGGTGAAATCTTCTGCGTGCACACATGCACACGCATGCACGCGCACACGCGCACACACACACAAGCCTGAAGCCTTTACCATTCTTCACATTTAATACTTTTTTCTTCTTTTTCTTCAGAAAAAGATAGAAATAAGGAAAAAAAATAACTGAAAAGAAATGATGGTTAGCAATTATTCTCAAGTAAATCTCATCAAGGTTGTGTCTGTCTCAGAAAGGTAAATCCCATGTTCTCACAGCAAAGAGAATATGAACTACGAGAAAGGCTCCAGCTGAGATATGTGTTCAGGCTCCATGCCAGCTGCTGTCAATTCAAGCTCCCCAGAGAGCCTGCCCCAGTGGACCTGGCTCTGGTGAGGTAATGCGTAATGCCTGGCCCTCAGCACTGCCAGCCACATCTCCCAGAGCCTCTGCCACCTCTGGCAGCAGATGCCAGTTCCAGAAGAAAAACTTGCATTTGCCATCTGCTACCCCAAAAGAGAAGCATGAGGGGGTCCAGATCTGCCTAGACATCTGAAATAAAAGAAGTCTCAGAAATAGTCTCATAGATGGAGGGTCAGTAGTTCCACAGTATGAATGTCTGTAAATCGTGACTTTGGGTGACCTCCGAAGGGGCAAAGGAGTAACCACTTGAGATTGCCCTCTGAGTCTCTCCATCCAGAGTTCTCAGCCTATTCATTATCAAAGTGCAAAAAGTAGGCCTAGCCTAGAAAAATGAGATACCTGTGCTTCTAGCAAGCACATAGTTCATTCCAAACACGAGGCACATTGCCTCAGTGGATGACCTCACAGCCATGTGAAGGCCCCAAGATTGACTAAGATACTGAGGCAGGATAGCAGCTTACCCCTAAAAGGAGCTCAAGTAAGGATATGAAAACCATCCTAGTGAAACATCCAGAACAGGCAAATCCATAGAGCTGGAAAGTGGATTAGAGTTGCCAAGGGGTAGAGGAAGGGAAGATGGGAGTGACTGCTGATGGGCAGGGGGCTTTTATTGGGGGAGATGAGTATATTCTAGAGTTGATAGTGTGAGCATTGCAGAACTCTGTAAATGTACTGAACACTGTTCAACAGAATTTTAGCCAGGTGCAGTGGCACACACCTACAATCCCAGTGACTTGGGAGGCTGAGGTAGGAAAATCCTAAGTTCAAGGCCAGCCTTGGCAACTTAGTGAGGCCCTGCCTCAAAATTTAAAAATAAATAAATAAATAAAAAGGGCTGAGGATGTGACTCAGTGGTAGGGCATCCTTGGATTCAGTTCTCAGTACTATGAAAGAAAAAAGTGAATTTTATGGCATATAAATTATATCTCAATTTTTTTAAGAAGAAAAATCTTTAGGGTTCCCAATAGCAGCTGGGAGAAATCTAAATTTTGAACTCTTTTGCTAAAGCAGCTCATATACCTCAGGCTCATAGCTTGGGACCCTGGCAGCATGAAGAACATTTGTCCTGGTAAAAAGCTGCCAGTCTGAGGAGCTATCAGGGATGTTGGCATTGGACACAGCAGGACTCTGTAGCCAACCTTGTCATAATAGTACTGCCTGAATGAGCAAAGCCAACCACACAGCAACCTCACTCTCACACTGGTTGGCGAGGCAGTTAGAGCAACACAAACATGTTGTAGACCTCTTGAGGGGGAAATGCGGGGCCAGGAATGTAGCCTAGTGGCAGAATACTTGTCTAGAAAGTGGGAGACCCTGGGTTCAACCCCTGGAACTTCAAAAGCAATAACCTCCTGGACACTCTTCCCTTTACTCTTTATCTTTCCTATGAGTTTCCAGTGCTGTATCAAATACTCAGTTGTCACTTCTCTGGGCCAGGCCTTAGACTAGTTGTCAGGTTCACACAGAGGCCACTGGCCAGTCATGAACTCATGAAGGGAGGCAGTTCTGACCATGCACCTCAAACCTCACAGCACACCCTTCCTTATCGCACCAAGTGTGGCAGCCTCAGAGAACACAGATGAGTTAGAGAGTGGATGCCAATGAGTGATGTCCACATTTCAGCGAGAGCTCAAGAGTGTGGTCAGGACTAAAGTGGACATGGGCTCATCAGGGCAGGGAGGTCTCTCCCCAGGCCCAGCCCAGTCTTCTTTCTGAATTGAATTGCTAGACTCCACTGGAGTATTAAAAACCTAAATATTTATTTGCTTCATATTTACAAAGGAGGAAGGATACCGAGGGAGACCCCAAGAACACCCCACGCCTGGCTGACCAGGCCGCTTGCGCTGCAGAGGAGGCGGACACATCTGGAAGGGACAGGATTTATGTTGCATACTTGAACTACAGTGAGTGTAAGACTGGTCCTATTTACAGGGCAGAAACACTACAGGTGGAGTGTGGGGGCAGCAAAGTGAGCACCAGAGTCCTGGCCAGAGGGTGCCCTGCTTGCCGCCTTCCCCACCTCTCCCAGAGACATCTCTGCGGCCCCGCTGGGGTTCTCCGGAGGGGGGGGACAGGGCCTGCTCACATGATGCTCGCTGGGGTGAAGACAGGGCCCACACACAAGGTATCTGTGATCTCCCAGCCACAGGACAGAGGCTTGCACATGCCTTCAGCATCTTCGTCTTGTTCCGCAGGCAGCAGCTGCCTTCGCAGCGCTTCCCTGAGGGTGAGAAAGGGGTGTTGGAGGTAGCTAGCAGGTCCCGAAGCCTAGGGGCTCCTGATGGCCCCTGTATCGGATTCTCTGGCCCTTTAGGCATAAAGCTCTCACCTGAACCCTAAGCCGAGCCAAGGGCAGGGGCAAGGGCAAGGGCTCTTCTCCACTGCCATCCCCACTGCCCAAGAAGAGAAAGGAACCCATAGGATGATCGTTGAGCACTTAACTGTGTGTCAGACATGGCCCAGGCACTTTACTTTCATCCTCTAATTTTATCCTCCTCCAAACACTATGAACAGCCTTTACCACCCTATCTTACTGATGAGGAAACAGACTCTGAGGAGTGGCCTGCCCAAGACCACATCCCTTGTGGGTGGTAGGACTAGGTTGAACCCAGCTCTCTCACTCTAGAGCCCACAGTCTTCATACCGAGACTTGAGTCTTAAAAATAACTCATTCCCTGCTCCCCTCACACAGTACCACAAGCTATTTCTCCTCCTCTGCACCCACGTGACTAAAGTTCCATCACCTGAGCCACTGCTCTGGCTACAGCTGGGAATCTTGTCCCAACACAGTCAGGCTCCACCCAGCCCAGCTCCTGAACCACCCACTGGTCTCCATCCCACTGACATCACCTCTCCTAGGACCACAACAGGACCACACATCTCCCTGACCTGTTCGCCTGCTCTCACCCACTTCAGACAGTTCAGTACTGGCCTAGGCCCATCTTTCTAAAAGTCAAACCCTCCTCTTGAGCCCCCTGTAACTTCCCTTCACTTTCAGGCCCTGGGTCAGCCCTGTCTGCCTCCCTCTCCATGCTTACAGCTCTGCTTTTCCACACCGCCAGAGGCCATCACATTAGCCACTTCTCAGGCTCTCACATGTCCCTTCCCAGGCCTGTGCCCATGCTTATCATCCTGCCTACATCAATTCCTCCTTGGCCTATTTGTCTTGGCTTCGGTGACAGAGCTTCAGAAGAGCAGGACACAGCAGAGTCCTACACTCAGGATCTCTCTCCTTGATATCAATAAAGCTTCAATATCTGTGACCCTGACATTTCTTCATTTACAGCAGGACAAGGAAACATCTGTGTTACTCCCTGCTGGTGCCCCTGAAGCAAGCTAGCAAGTACTCATGGGCAGGAAGGTGTGGAGCTGTCTGGACACTGGGTGGGGAGAGCACTGGGCTCAGTATCCATGGACCTGGAGGGACCATGCCACTTGTCCTTACTTGTTCTGGGTTCTGCTTCTCCACAAGACCTTCCCTCTTCTGTTCTTTCATACTTTTAGCACATTCCAGTCCCTCACCTGCAGGAAGAGCTCCCTCTGTGCTGAGTCATACAAGTCAATAGCAAATCAGGAGTTGGTGTCTCCAAAACCCACTGATGCTGGTCCCTTACTTGAGGAAGGCTATGGGCTACGTACCCTCTGACTGAGCCTCTGTCTCCTTATCTTTAAAAATGGGTTGGTCCAGTTTCTTGAAATCTTTCAATGGCTCCCTACTACCTTTAAGACCAAGTCCAGTCTAGACCTCCAAGGTCCTTTTATTTCTCACTTTTTTTAATTGTTTCAAGGTCCTTTTAGATCCAGTCTTCCCTACATGCCACTCCTTGCATGTGGAGAGCTACTTGCAATTTTGTGACCAAATAAGACCTTTCAGGCCTCTTGGCCATCCCTTTGGCCTGTTTTGGCCTCCTGGACCTGGCTGACACCTCCTAAGAAGCTGTCCTAACCACGCTCCTTCACTATCCCTCCCTCCTCAGTGGCCTTTTCACTCTGTGTCAGCATCTGTGTGTAGATCTGCACCCTGGCTTCTCCAGTGCTCCTGTACTCCCAGGACCTAGCACAGAGCAGGTGGTAAAGCAAAGCATTCTGCTGAGGCCACTCTTCTACAGGGGATTTCTTGGCATGTCCATTCAGTTCGTCAGCATTTTTTGTTCCTAGTAATGAGTTCAGCCAACTCTATGTGACCTCCTCCACCTGCAGCTGCTGATGACAGAGCCATGGAGGGAATACTAAGTCTGTGAGGTGATTGTTCTTGAAGTTTGTCTTTAGACCTTGTCAGAATGCCCCAGGTGGCAAAATCACCACAAAAGCCTATCCTGTGCCCTCACAGCAAAAACAACAAAGGTTTGTAGAATGCATGAATGAAATACGACTCTCCTCATGCCAAATTAGGTCTGGGGTTTGGTGGTTTCCTGGGGGCCTGGGAACATGGGCCACACTCATCTGAAAGCCCAGGGGAAAAAAGCCCCTCCCAACTGCCCTGCCCTCTATAGCCTTTTCCCTCCCATAGCAGGGGCCCTTCCCACTGCCCAGCTGTATGATATCAGGCTGATCCCCAGAGTTGTGAGTAAAAGGAAATAACAGTAGATGTCCAAGGTAAGCTATGCCCTCAGGGCTCTGCAGGCCTGACTCTCCATGTCACACACCTCTTGCCTCGCTAGACCCCAGCACTACCTGAGGCAGCAGGCAGGGCTGGTGCTATGCCTTTTTTCTAAATAAGACTGAGACTCAGCCCAGGTATGACCGCTGTCATCCAGCTGGTCACTTGTCTGCCTCTGCCTCCTTAAGGTAGTTGGGGGGTCTTTACAAAATGCAAATCAGACTATGTCTACCCCTGCTTCAAACAGGTCCTTGCTTCCTGTTACTCTTAAGTCCTTTGCTCAACCTTCAGTACCTTCCCAGATCTAGCCCTGCCTCTCTCTCCAGTCACAACCAACCTCCATTAGTGCCTTGAGTGGTACCTTGGATGCACCACACTTGTACCATGTTCCCTTCCCAGGAACTCCTGCCCACCTCCTTCTGCCTCTTGCCCACTACCTCCCACCCAGGAGTGCCATCTTGAGGACGTGTCTATGCCCCTGCATCCTCTGGGGCTGTGAGCTCCTTGGGGAGCTCCTCTGTAGCCATAGCCACATGCCCAACACAGGCCTCAGCTGAGTCAGCCACCAGCAGCTACTTGTCAAACTAGGTTACATGGGAGAGGGTCTCAAATCTCAGCTTCCCTTATTTCTTCATCCCAGCTTGCCTCCCACCTCTCCTCTTCATAGCAGGGGCCCCTTACCAGGCTACCCGGGACATGGCGTAGGTGATGCGGCAGGCCTGAGTCCCTCCAAGGAGGGACCCTGTGCCCACTGTGTAGGCTCCCATGTTGTCGAAGACCAGCCAGTCCCCTACATGTAGTTGCGGCAGCCACAGGCCTTCAGCCACACAGTCTCGGACATCAGCTGGGCCCCACAGGCTGCTGCTGTACAAGGGCTGCTCTGTGGATGGTTTCTGCAGAAGAGAGAAAGAGCCCTATCAACTCTTCTGGCCATTCAACACCCTTAACACGTCCTCCCTCAAAAGTCTTACATGGCTCCTGTAGTCAACAGGGTGATGACTGGATAAACCTCCTAGCCTGGCATTTAAGGCTCTAACCACTTCTCTGTATTGGTTGCCTCTTATACTGGAAGCCACAATAGCTGGTCTCAAATCCAGGTTGCAGTGCTTGCTAGCTGTGTGACTTTGGGCAAGGTACTTAATCTCTCTGTGCCTCAGTTTCCTTATTTGTAAAATGAGAATAATAAATAGTACCTATTTTATAGGCTACTCAAAGGATAAATTAATTAGCATATGTAAAGCATTTAAAACAGTGGTTTGTGCCTGATATAATGGTACACACCCATAACCCTAGCTACTCAGGAAGCTGAGGCAAGGGGATCACAAGTTCAAGACCAGAATTAGCAATTTAGCAAGACCCTGTCTCAAAATAAAAAATAAAAAGGGCTGGGGATATAGCTTAGTGATAAAGCACCCCTCAGTTCAGTCCTCAATACCAAACAAATAAACCAAAAAAAAAAAAAAAAAACCCAGCAGCTGGCACATGGCAGAGGCCCAAGAAGTTAGTATTATTATTGCTGCTTTTATAGTCATTGTTGTTATCACATCTGTGCTTCAGTCTTCCCTGGACACTTTCCAGACCTCAGCTATGTCCATGCCACCACAGCCTTCTCCCATCCTCAGTTCCAGCCTATCTGCTGGTCCCACCCCCTGAAACTCCATCTTCTATAAAGGTTTCTTGGATCCCCTCATTTCATTTCAGATCCAGTGACAGGAACCCAAAATACACAGGTGGGTTAGACCATCCTTCCTCAAGTCTGTAAGGAATGCAGGCCTCCCCCAGTCCATCACAGGGTAACCTCACAAAGGACCCCATGGGGCAAACACAATAACTTCCATTTCAGGAAACAGGCTAAGAAGTTAAAGATTTGCTCAAAGGCACAACTTCCAATGTCAATACATTTAAAATTTTTTCTTGAATGACTTCCAAGTCCAGAAAAGGAAATTAACACAGACCATTTGCAGGCAACCAAGATATCAGGGCAGTTTGTCACAGTGTAGGTAGGGCTCCTGCCAGGCAGGTCCTACAGAAAGAGTCACAACCAATGGATGGACATATGCAGATCCTAACTGCCCCGCCCAAGACCCCTTGGCCCTTCTGCTGCTGCACTCCATGTTCTCCAGTTTCTCCTGTTGCTCTGGGCTTCCCTTCCCTTACCCACTGCCTCCAATCATGTTCTTTGAGGTTCCAAATATGCCAAGTCCTGTTTTCCTTTAGATTCTAGAAGAAACAAGACTCCAGAGAAGCCTATCTTGAAATTCCATGCTCCCTAAGTTTTGCCTTCATAATGTTTGCCATGATTTGTAACTAAATATTTGTGAAGTGGCTGCTCAAGACTGGCTTCCTGGACAGGTGATAAATTCCTCAAGCCTGAGATAGTGTCAGATCTGTTCTTCCCCGCCTCTTGTGTACCTTGCAATCTGGCATACAGTAGGTGCTTGTTGCAGTATTATTTTGGAATGAATGGATGGGTAACATACATATGAGTGATGAGAGTGGGAAAGAAAAAAAAGGGACATGAATAGAAACCATCCACAGGTGATAGGAGGAGGTAGTGAGGACCGACAGGTGGAGAAAACAGGAAAGGCATTTCGATGCCTTAGCCAGGGGCAGAAATGAGCAAAATTAAGAAAGAAAAGTCACAGTTTCCACAAGGAGAAATAATGTTTATTTCACAAAAAGTTAATAAGCTGCTAGTCCTGTTTATAAAGAAAATATGTACAAATTATTAGAAGCAAGAATGAGAACTGTCCTATATTCATTAATTCATTCATTCAGCAAACATATTGAACACCTGCTCTATGCCAGGCTCTGATCTAGGAGCTGAGGGGCAACACCAAAACAGATACATTCCTCTGTCCGTAAAGCTTATGTTCTAGGAAGAGGAAACAAACAGATCTTCATTTACCTTAAGTTCTTATTTACAAGCTTTTTGTTAATGACTAAAATTAGGTTTCTTGGATCCCCTCATTTTATATCAGATCCAAAACATTATTGTGAATGTTTTCCCTTAGCCCAAATCATTAAAAAACATTTAAAGTTTGGCAGGGGATATGCTGTATGAAAGTATCCACAAAAATCTGAGAAAATAGGTTTTAGATTCTTCCATAATAAAGAGAAAAGGCACTCTTGGGTTGTAAGTTAGCGTTCTTTCACTTCTTATTAGTGAAGCCAAATAAAAAATAGATGGAAAGGGCTGGAGTTGTAGCTCAGTGGTAAAGCACTTGCCTAGCACGTGTGAAGCACTGGGTTCAGTCCTCAGCACCACATATAAATAAATAAAGTTATTGTGTCCATTTATAAATAAAAATATTTTTTTAAAAAACAGAGATGGAAACAATATTTTAAGGCTTTACAGGAAATAATGCAAATCTCCTGTTTAACTATTTAAATCCATTTTTTTAAAAAGGAACCTGCAAAATAAATAATCCAAAAGAATGTAGCAACAAGACTGTAAATCTCAGCCCTGTGTACAAGTCTGATAACTTGAGCAGAAAAAGACAAGCCGCTGTAAAAATCTAAGATGCCAAATCTACTGGCCACTGGGCCCCTCTAAGAAAAGACAGGAAGTTCACTGTTTACAAAGCACGACAATCACAACTTTAAATCTCATCTGGAAGGCAGGTGGCACCATTGTGAAGCCCGGCTAATAGAAAACTCTGAGGGAAGTGACCTGTCCCAGGTTCTGGAGGGAGTTAATTAGCAGAACTCTGAGCCATCTCAGATCCAGCTGCCTTCCCCAGAGACCCACTATGGGAACAGTTCCATAGAAGAAACAAGGTCAAACACCACGGAAGGTATATGCCCTGGATGAAGCATGTACTTATAAAAAAAAAATTTAAATCAATAACTCCTGTATTATATAAAGTGTACAGAAATATTTTAAAAGAAAAAAATGAGATGAACAAAGGCAACACACAAGTGCCAGAACAAAACATGTATTTAAAATCTCCTTCACGAGCTTATAGGCAAAAATCTGATATGAAACCTTAACTAACCAAATCCAGGCTTATATACAAAGAATCATCTTCAGAAATCAGATGCTTTGCTCTCTGTGGAAGGTGAAGACAACATGGGCAAAGTCAACCACTGTCTTCATCATAATACAAAAAGTACAGATCTATAATGTAAAGATAATTTTTCCAAAACACGTCAAGATGGTATCCAATAGCCTATTGCAGCTTCTCTAAAACTACAACCAAAATCCCACAATGAAGAGAAACTATTGTACATAGGGAGCCAACTCCAACTCCATGGAAATACTCTAAAATGGCCTCATTTCAAAACCAAAAGCAACCTTACTAAGCAAAGTTCAGTGCCCTCATTTTCCAACTAAAAAAGCAAGGCTCAGATTCAGTAACTGGCCTGAGGTTACTCATCTATGATATGGCAGAGCAGGTCTCAATCTCATGTCTTCTGACTCATAATCTGAAGCCTTTTATCATCATTCTTATTTTATACATCTTGAGAAACTCTGGAAATCACTATTAGGCCGGGGAAAGGTATGTAGAAAATGAAGAAATAAAATATTACATTGCAAATAATATGTTCACTTGAGAAATCAAAGGGAATGGTAGTTCCTAGAGGCTATCAATGAGTCTTAACAAGTAAGCCAGTGTCTCGGCACAAAAACCACAGGGGAAGTTTGCACTCAATTTAAATTCTTGGATGTACCTGGGCCAAGAAAATAATAAGACCTCAATGGGGGAAAAAAAAAAAATACTTGAGCTCTACCTTTTCCTAGTGGAAAAAAAAAAAATTAGTATAGCAAAAAAGAGAAATCTTGTCAGGTCTAGTGGCACACATCCATAATCCCAGCTACTCAGGATACAAAGGAGGAGGATCCCAAATTCAAGGTCAACCTGAGCCACTCAATGACACCCTGTCTCAAAATAAAAAAAGGAATGGGGATATAGATCAGTGGTATAATGCCACTGGGTTCAGTTCCCAGTACTGAAAGGAAAAAATGAAAGAAATCTAATAAATAGGTTAAATAAACTACTACTAATTGAAATCCCCAAGATATTTTCTTTACCTTAGAAACCATGTGATAAAAGAATAACTGAGACTATCAGAATACTAATAAAGCAATAACTGACTTAGTTTTTGTTAGTTAATTCATAAAAAAATAATGTATCATGTGTAAAAAATAACTGAAAAATGAATACCTATATACTTCCCACCTAGCTAAAAGAAATACAAAATTTCCAGTATCTTTGAAACCCCCTTTGTGGCCCTCCCTAATGATATCCCTTTCTCTAATCTCTCTAGAGACAACCATTATCCTCAATTTTATGTTAATCATTTTCACATGTTTCTTGATTTCTCAAGACTCTGTACCTAACCCTAAACAATAGATTTAGTTGTGCATACTTTTGAAATTTATATAATTTAAATTATAGTTTGAAATCCCTGCAACTTGCTTTTTTCTTGTTGGAACTTACATTACCACAATTCATCCAATTGATACATACAGCTGTAGTTCACAATACATTGCAAGAATTCACTGTATGGAATGCACTGTAATTTATTTATCCGTTACCCTGCCAACAAACTTGCTTCCACTGTTGTATAAAGATTGCTCTTGGGGCTGAGAGTGTGGCTTAGTTGTAGATTGCTGGCTGACCATGCACAAGGCCTTGGTTTTTGATTCTCAGCGATATAAAAAAAAAATGGGATTGCTTCTATGAATACTTTGATATATGTCCTCAAACATGTATGCCAAGAGTTTCTTTACAAGATTCACCTGGGAACTTAAGGTATATGTTTGTTAGCTTTATCTGATGACAATTTATTTCACAAAACAGTATACCAACTCCCACCTAGCAGTGTCTAAGAGATCCAGCTATGTCATACCCTCACCAATGCTTTTACATTGCCATTCTCTTATTTCCTAATCAAGTTGGTATAAAATGGAATCTCATTTAAATTGTAATTTTCCTGTCCTAGAGTACAAGTGAGCACCTTTCATTTTCTATTTGGTTTCCTCTTCTGTGAACTGTCTGGTAAAGTCTTTTGTCCATATTTCTTTTGCACTGCAACTTAGCAAAACCTTGTCTCAAAGTAAAAATAAAATGGACTGAGGAGAGGCTAGGGTTGTGGCTCAATGGCAGAGCACTTGCCTAACATGTATGAGGCACTAGGTTTGATCCTCAGCACCACATAAAAATAAATAAATAAAACAAGGGTACTGTGTTCATCTATAACTAAAAAAATTCAGTAATTTATAAAAAAATAAAGATCCATCTACAACTAAAAAGATTTTTATAAAAGGGGGGGCTGAGGATTAGGCTTAGTGGTAGAGTACCACTGGGTTCAGTCCCCATTGCCACCAAAAAAAAAAAAAAACATGAAAATAAAACAAATACTGAGATATGCCATTTCAGATAAATTAGACAACAAGAAAAGGTCATATGCAATGCCCGTGGGCTTATTGTGAAATGGGTACAATTAGTAACAGTAGATATTAGTCCAAAATGCTGAAAAAATAATGTGGCAATATGTATCAGAGGCCGGAACAATGCTCTCCTATTTTTACCTGGTAATCTTATTTCAGACATTCTTCAAAAGAAAAGAGTTTATATCCTGCTATGTGCACATGTAACAACAAGTTCTACTACTACGAATGATTATAATGCACCAAAAAAAAGAAATTTTCTTAATTTTTAAAGAAAATCATTTTCAAATATGAATACACTTGAAGCACATAAAATGAGCCAGTCATGCAGAGATTACCAAAGAGCAAAATTCATAGAAGCATGAATAACAAAAAATTAGCAATGCTTAAATGCCCAGTGATACAGCAATTTTATAGGGAGACAGTAATTTTATAGAAGAGTAGTTAAGAGCTTTTCTTTGGCACCAGACAGATAATCAGAGATGAGTCAGACATAAGCCCTATCCCCCAGAGTCTTGCAGTCTACAGTTAATAAGCATTACCGCTTATGAAGTATGTGACTTTAAACAAGATACTTCTCCTCTCTAAGCCTCAATTTTCTCATTGTAAAGTGGATTGATAATTCCTACTTTAAAGGATTATTGCAAAAATTAAAAGAGAAATGCTTAGTGCAGCTCTGCTGCCATAAGTGCATAGTGACTAGCCACACCAACATATACGTGAACTATGCAACCGTGCAGCAGCACACATGGGGCAATGTACAATGAACAGAGTTCCATTAGAGGGATGCAGAGAGTTGATTAAGCCACTTTAAATTTTAAGTTGCTTATATAATTTTTAAAAAATATTTAATTCTAGAAGTGGTGTTACGAGCCTGTTGTCCCAGTTATGGAAGCTGAGGTAGGAGGATGACTTGAGAACAAGAGTTTGAGGCCAACCTGGACAACACAGTGATACCTCATCTCAAAGAAGGAAGAAAGAAAGAATGGAAAGGAAGAAGGAAGGTAAGTTGATGTAGCCAGGTGCAGCTGTACACATTTCTAGTCTCAGCTACTCAGGAGATTGGAGGCAGGAGGACTGCTTGAGCCCATGAGTTCAAAACTTGCCTGGGCAATATGGAGAAAACTCATCTCAAAAAATAAGATGAATTCAATTCTAACATATACTAAGTGCTTACTGTTTGCCAGGTTCTATACTGGGAAAACAAGTATGAATAATTTCTGCCTTCAGGAGTCTCACAGTATAATGGATGATTCATTCAGTCATAATTCATTCAATAAAAGTTATGCACCTACTGTGTGCCAGGTGCTGAAAATTCAGAGGAAACAATTGAACAAGCTAACTATCTTCATAAAGCCTACCTGCTAGTGTAGAAAACAGACCAATGGTAAGTAAACAAAAACAAGATAATTAGAGACATTATACAGAAAATAAACAGGGTGACCAAATTATCTGATGGTTGGAGGCCTGCTTTAGAAAGGGTAATGAGGAAAAGACCTCCTGAAGAGGTGACATCTGAGATGAGACATAAAGGGAGAAAGTAAGACAGTCATCTCAGGAATAAGTAAATATCATTCTAAGCAGAACAAGTGTAAAAGCCCTGAGGTCAGAAAGAGCTCAGATGTTCCAGGTACAGAAAAGAGGTCAATGGGGTGTATCAGGTGAGCGAGAGGGAAGAGTGGGGAGAGTCATCTAGAAGGATGGGCAGGAGCCTCACTAACTAGGGTGAACAGTCAGAATTTTATTTGCAGAGTAATGGGAAGCCATGGAAGGCTTTAAGCCAAGAAGGAATATGATCTTTGGATGTTTAAAAGATCATTTTGTCTGCATTGTGGAGAATGGTTTGTAAGATGGCAGGAAGAAGGGCCAGAAGAGCAATTAGTGGTTATCTGATGGTCCAGGCAGGTGGAGTTAGTGATTTGCATTTAGGATGGTGTCAGAGAAAGAATGAAATGAACTCAAAATGTATTTTGAAACTAGACTGAAGAACTGCAGGTGGATTCCCTGTGGGAAGAGGAAAATCAAGAAAAATGCCAACTTTTTAAATTTAAACAATTAGCTAGTGGAAGTGCTGTTTACTCAGAGGAGTTTTGGTTTGGAAATCAAGAATTCAGTTCTGATCAGATTAGATCCGAGATGTGGGATATCAGGAGAAACGTCTTGTGGGTAGCTAGATGCCACAGTCTGGCTGGGCACAAATAACTGTGCTGCCCTGAAGTACTTGTAGGTTCAAAACAGCAACTCTTTATGGCCGAACTCCACCAGCACACTCCACACATACTCCCTGGGAACTCTCCCTCTTCTCCCAGGCTCTGCATACGCGCACTCCCTCGGAACCCCAGGAACTCCCAAGTATCGCCCCGAGCTGCCAGTAAAGGTCTAATATACAATTGAATATGCAGCTTAACATAACTGACATCATCTCAATGGCTCCCTGGCATCACCTCTCAACCACTCCCTTCTGGCAAAATGCCATGCATCATCCGGACTCAGCCTTGGCCCTCAAAGCTAGATAGTCAGGTCTGGAGCCCGGGTGTGTGATCCAGATTAGAGATATAAATTTTGGAGTGACAAGAGAAGGAATTATATTGAAAGCCTCCATCTGGACATGTTTGCCTAAGAAGTGCATGTAGACAAGGAAGAGGACCCAAGACTGAGGCCTGAGAGAGAATTGAGAGAGTAGGCTGTGGAAGAAGTAAGTACCAGAGAGACAAGGACAGGGCAGAGCCCAGGACTTTGCCACAGAAGCCCAGAGAGAGTCAGGTGTGAAACCAGAGGAGGATGGTCTGCTGAGGACAGAAGGGCCACATGGAAGACCTAGCAATGCGGATGTGACTCTCAAAAGCATCCTGTGTAGAGTGCTGAACAGACACTAGATGGAAGAAGTTTGGAGGGTGAGTGGGAGCTGAGTGGAGAGACAGCGAATGCAGGCCATGTGGTAGAGAAGGTCGGACATGAAGGGCAGCAGCCACCTTACAAAGTCTCTGGAAGAAGGGAAATGTATGGCCAATAAATATACAAAGAGATGTCCGGCTTCCTTAGTGATGGGGGGGGATGCAAATTAAGACCAATGTGATACTATTTTATAGAGTTCCATTGGGCAAACATTTGAAATCTGATGATAACAAGATACCAAGTGTTGGGGGAATGTGGATCCACCAGTCTCTCTTACACAGATGATGGGATTGTCCATTAATACAACCACTTTGGAAAACAGTTCCACACTGTCTCATGAAATTAGCATTCACATACCTTATCCCCTGCCTTTTCACTCCTTGATAATGTGACACAGCTATGTGCAAGAATTCATAGCATTCACAGAGGCAAAAACCTAGGAAAAGTTCAAATGCCTCAAGAGAACAGATGAATAATCTGTGGCATTTCCACCATCAGTGAATGCTGTGTAGCAGAGAAATGGATGGACTCCAGATCTGTGCTCAGTGTTGATGACTCCTGAACTGTGATATGAAGGGAGAAAAGGCCCAGGAATGTTGCATACATCATAATGCCATTTTTATAAAGTAAAAAACAAGTGTAATAAATTTTAAATACTTTTCAGGAATAGATTTGTATGTAATGAAACTATACTTAAGAAAGCAGGAGACTGGTAATGCATGAGTCAGATAGTGTTACTTTGCATAGGAGGTGACAAAGGGATAAGGCTGTAAAATGATAAGGATGCTTATTACACTCAAGGAAACAAAGACAAGGCCTCCTATGAAGTATTTTTATTCAAAAAACTTGGAATCTATCTAACTATGAAATGTAAATAGTTACATTTAAATTTAAAAAAAAAAAAAACCATGTTCAGCAGCACCAAAGGGAAATCCAGAAATCCACCAATCAGGAAAATCCAGAATGCAGGATGCAGAACACTATAGGGCAAACAGCTCCATTTCATCAACAAGTAAATTATGAAAAACATTTGAAATGTTAAAAGAGAGTGGGGAAACCAATAGGTTAAAAGAGATGTGGTGGGGCTGGGGGTGTAGCTCAGTGGTAGAGTGCTTGCCTAGCATGTATGAGGCCTTAGGCTCAATCTCCAGCACCAAAGAGAGAGAGAAACCAAATGTATTATGTGGAGTTTCTTTGGCTCCTGATTCCAGCAAGTCAACTATTTAAAAAAAAACACTTATAAGACATTTTGAAAACTAATGAAGGACACTATTAAATTGTTGATTTTTTAATTTGATGACGGAACTGTAATTTTTCTCAAAGTCTAACTCTTAGAGATGTAACTAAATTTTTTTTTAAATCTAGTAATATTTGTCCTATACTTTCTTCATGACATTCTAATTTGTGTGCTAATCTCGCTTTCTCTCTCTCACACACACACACACACACACACACACACACACAATCCAACAGGACTGTATTTCCAAGACACAAAAGATTCTTACCTACTATCATCTGCCAACCTCAGCATAATACTTTGTTGAATTAAAAAAAAGAGGAAACGTAAACATCAGAGGGCTAAACAGAAGTAAATCCTTATTCCCTACAACTTTTTATACCGAAAGTCTAAAACCAAAGTCCCTGGAAAAGAAGAGTAGGGACACAAAGCTATCTTAACAACTCATGAGGAGTGCATTTCTTGGAGAACAAGGTGGAGACAACCCTGGCTGGGCTAAGTCCCCCTGATACCCTCCCCACATGGCTGGATCTAAATTACATATAGCAAGGTCTCCAGCACCAAACTGGGCCATGCTCTGGCTCTCTTCCCACAGGGACACCCTGGGTAAATGGTTGAAGGAGGAAACCGAGGCATCCTCCAGAGAGGGAAGAGCACAGACCACAAAGAGTAGGTCACATCCTGGTGGCCAAGTCAGAAATGCCAATTAAGGATCTGTCAAAGCAGAGACCTTGGCACATCTACAAGTCAGTGGGCAGGGACCACAGTCCTGTTATTCTGAGGAGCCAATGAAGGGACTGGAGAGTGGGTCATCGATGAAATGCAACAGGAAAAGGGGGACTGGAAGAAGAGGGCCCTGCCTGACTGCCATTTGGGCTTGGCTGGCCAAGGTTCAGCCTGGTCCCTTCTCCATGCAGAAGGATGTGGGCTACCACAGAAATGCAGGCAATGCTAATGTGAGTAGAAAATTGAATTCCTCGGCACAGTAGGGGGGCTGACTCAGCTAAGCAGACATAGCGATATATAACTACAAAATGAGAACACCCTAAGCCCCACACAGTGCAGAGGCCCCTGGGAGATGGTGGGGGTTCCCTCTGCCTGCAGTGGCATAAGGGTAGGAAGAGCTCCCAATAGGATCTTTCAAGACTGATCTGAACAGAAGAGGAACCACATGCACAAAGTCCCAGAGAGACGAAAATACAATGATGTGTCTGATACCCAGTAAAGCTGCTGGAGCCTGAAGTGTTTTCTATTCTTGTTCTCCTGTTGATATAAAAAAACTCATTACAGATGTACTGTTTCTTTTTACTTCTAGGAGTCTACCCCAGAGCAATAAACAGGGGTGTGTGCCAAGATACATTCACAATGCTTGAAACAAAAAGCCATTTAACCCCCAGTACAAGAAAAAAAAAAATACAGGAAACTACATGGCCACCCATTGGAGTTAGATGTGTTGAAATACTATGTAGTCATCAAAAAACATGTTATCAAAAATTAATTAATGGGGGGGCTAGGGTTGTAGCTCAGTAGTAGAGTGCTAGCCTAGCTAGTGTGAGGCCCTGGGTTCAATCCTCAGCACCATATAAAGATAAATAAAATATGAGGCTGGGGTTGTAGCTCAGTGGCAGAGTACTTGGCCTTGCACATGTGAGGCACTTGGTTTGATCCTCAGCACCACATAAAAATAAAGAAAGAAAGAAAAGATATTGTGTCCATATTTTTTAAAAAAGATAAATAAAATAAAGGTATTGTATCCATCTATAACTACAATAAAAATTAATTAATGGCATGGAAATAGCTATGCCCCATGATAATATGATTTTAACTCAATGAAAACAAAGTACATTACTTTTGTTTTTGTTTTTTTGGTACTAGAGATTTAATCCAGGGATGCTTAACCACTGGGATATATCCCCAGCCCTTTTTATTTTGAGACAGGGTCTCACTGTGTTGCTTAGATGCTCACTAAATTGCTGAGGCTGGCCTTAAACTTGCAAACTTCCTGCCTCAGCCTCCCTAGTTGCTGGGATTACAGATGTGTGCCATTGCTCCAGGCTACAATGCATTTCTTTTAAAATATCTTTTTTAGTTGTAGATAAACACAATACTTTTATTTTGTTTTTATTTTTAAGTGGTGCTAGGGATCGAACCCAGTGCCCCACACATGCTAGGCAAGGGCTCCAGCACTGAGCCACAACTCCCAGCCCCTACAATGCATTTTTTAAAAGAACAGAAATAAATATAATGCACAAGAAGTCTATTTTGGTATAGTGAGGTTATGGACAATAATTTTGTCCTTGTTTATTTTCTACAATGAATGTGTTTTTCTTTTTAAAAATTAGATAAAGGACTGGGGATATAGCTCAGTGATAGAGCAACTGCCTAGAATGCTCAAGGGTCCTGGGTTCAATCCCCAGCACCACAGAAAAGAAAAATTAGGTAAAAACACAACAGGTTACTGAAACACACACAGGTGAAAACAGGCCCACAAGGGGTAGGCTCACCTTCTGCAGGATGGGGGTGGGGCAGATGTTGTCAAACAGGACTGAGTTGAAGATCCCATACACACCGTCATCAAGATGGTACACGATGGTCTTGGGGGCGGAACCATTTTCCTCTGCAGGGAGGGGAAGGGTCAGGGGCAACACAAGCAGAATGTGAGGGGCCTGAGAGTGGGGAGTTGGTACCATGGTGGGCCCAGCAAGCATGACAGGTCTGTGAAGCCAGAGGTCTGCCTCTTCCTCAACTATGGGGTGGGTCCTGCAATTGGAGCCACCAACAGCCATCCTTCTGATGACATGGGTTCACGGTTGTGTTGGGAACACCCACCCTTGCAGCGTTCCTGCCTGGGACACATTACCAGCCTGCAGCTGAGCCCCTAGGTGTCCTAGCAAAGGCAGAAGAGTAGCCCACCCGAATTCAAGGTCCCAAGAAGTTAAGCCTCTTGCTCAGAGGCACATAACAGGGTGGTGGATGAGCTGGAATGAGAAGCCAGGTCTTCTGACTGGACTAGGTAGGCTAATCCCCCAGATCTGTGACAGAGGCCAGAATGTCATTCCTGCACACGTGCGCGTGCGTACACGCATACACACACACACACACACACACACACACACACACATACATATGCAACATTTCTACCTGGAACCCACCACCCTGCCATGTGAATCATCCCTGAAGCTCTCCCTAGAGTCCTGGAAGGACAAAGAAACAGGGCAAAGCCCAAGATCAGAGTCTCTGACACCTCTCCCTCAAAGAGCAAAGAGAGGTGCCGAGGAGGCCTGATTTGTCGATCTGGGAGGGCAGAGAAGAATGTTTACACTGGTGGTATGGGCACACAAGCTGAATCAGCCCAGCTTGAACTTGAATTCCAGCACTGCCTCTTGTCAGTTGTGTGACCTTAGGCTGCTAACCCAACCTCTCCTTGCCTTCATTCTTTCATCTCTAAAGGGGACTTTAACAAATATAAGTTGTTGTTAATTATTTTATTAAATTATGAGGATGGATGAACAAGAGAGGAGACAGACATGGGTCAAACACAGGCTTTACCTCTTTACAAGCTATTAAGAAATTCACTTGTGTTCCCTTTAACTCTGTTTCCTCATCAAGCAAAAATGGAGTCAGTAAAGAATCTATTCTAAGACAATCTTGATTTCAAGCCGCACAAAATATGAACATGCCTTGGGAAAAGGATGCTAAATAAGTGTCTTGGGGTGAGTGGACCCGATTGTAATTTTCCCTACAGCAAGCACCCATTCTCCAGACTCCCCCACCCCCACCTCTAGGCCTAAATCTAGACGCTGCTCAGCCAGCCACTGTCCCCAGCTTTAGGGAAGAATGGGTCTCTGCTATCCATCTGGCACCTACCCTCCCTGCCAGGCTGGTCCAGAAGAACCTCCTTCTTGGCAATGATGCTGACTGCCACGGTGAAGGCGGAGGTCACATAGTAGCGCCCCAGCTCAGCAAGGATGTCCACACCACAGCCCTCTGGGAAGTACAGGTCCAAGGCTGAGTTGATCACAGAAGCAATCTGGTGAGAGGGGATGAGGGGACAATTGTGTGTTCAAAATAGACTGGAAGCCTATTCTGGTTTGCAAGGTGAGGTTTATGCTAAAGATCTGCTACAGCTCCAAGTCTGTTTCTTGAAAGCTGCTTTGATTTCAGGAAGAAGGATTTGGCAGCTACTAAGGCCCCAGCTAGTAATTTGGGGCAGCTAGACAGGTGGGAGGGGGACAGGGCTGAATCACGACCCTCGTGCTTATATAAATCACCCAGTTCAGTGCCCTCATAAAGGGGAGGGGCATCCTTTTGTAATGCTAGGTGCTCAAATCCAGAAGCCCTGATGTGGATGGATCTTTCTTTCATAAATAACCAGTTCATTAAGTAATACATTAAATTAGAGAAAAAAAATTTAAAACAACCAAGGAGGAAAAAGAAGATAAAAGACATCCTAATTTTATCATGTTAAGGAACCTAATCATTGTGAGCTTTCTGGAGAAACTCCTTTAATTCTTTTTATGCAAACATTTTTTATTATAAACAAGATGGGTCTGTGTATATGTTCTGATTGCCTGTTTTACTCAGTAGATTGAGAATATGTTCATGTGAGTGAATATTTTCATTGTAAGAATGTTCTATGCCAAGGCGTGGTGGTGTATGCCTGTAATCCCAGCAACTCCAGAGGCTGAGGTAAGAGGATCTTACATTTAAGGCCAGCCTCAGCACCTTAGTGAGGCAGGCCCTAAGCAACTTAGCGAATCCTTGTCTGAAAATAAATGGCTATGGTTGTCACTCAGTGGTAAAGTGCCCCTGGGTTCAAATCCCAGTGCAAAAAAAAAAAAAAGATCTATAATCTAACCAATCCCGAGTATTAGATGGTCTAGGTAAATGCACTCAATTTTGATTATATGCAAAGCTGCAACTCTGGTCTATGAGGCTAATTCTTTGGGTCCAGTTGGTATTAGCTCCTCTGGGTCAATTCCTAGCTGTGGAGATTCCGGAAAAGGCCTCTTTCTAAGAAAAAGTGACTCCTAGTGGTAAGATTAAGGATTGCAATGACATTTTCCTGCCTTCATCTCACAGGTGGGAAGGAGACACAGACTGGGAGTGGATCCAAGGTTGGTTTTCCTTCCCCTGCCTTCCCACCTTATTTTTTGTCAGCTCACCTGAGGGTGGACAGGGCATACTCAGACCCTCAAAGAGTCTTATGACATGCAAATAGGTTTTGGCTAAGCCTCACACAGGTTTGGTAAGCGGGTTCTGGTACCAGGCTGAGCCTGGTATGCAGCCAGCTCTGCTGTGGACTCAGGAAATGTCAAAACCTCTGAGTCTTGGTTTGCTCAGCCTTAGCATGAGGTTAACAGTAGTGAGATGATCCAGGAAAAGCAACGAGGACACAGCATGTGGCACACAGGACCCACTCACTGTATCCTTGTGATCATTGTATCCCTCCACTGTGTCCCCCTGCTCCCTACCCAGAGGGCCCAGTAAGACACTACTAGCGCCAGGGTTACCTCTTCAAATCTCACTTTGGCTCCCTCTATGCCAGGGAAGCCTCCACCAAGGTCCAGAATGTGCATTGTGTGGCCCAACTCGGCACCCATTTCAAACACAAGGCGGGCATCTGCGATGGACTGAGCATAGGCCTGAGGGTCAGGACAGCCACTGCCAACATGAAAACTGGGAAAGGAAGGAAGAGATTCAGCTTACATGAAGAGCCCCCCCCACCCCGCCCCAGTCCCAGTCAGGAACAGCCTTGGGCAGACACGTGGGACAGTGTACCCATGTTAAAGGTACAATGACTGAAGGCCTGAACCGTTAAATGGGTTGCAAGGGCCATGTGGCAAGTGAAGACTAGACAGGAGGCACTTGGTGCTCCTCCCATCCCCCCATGCTGCCCCTGGAGAGGAACATTAAGGGATAAGAACTAGGGCCCCAAGAAACCCAGATCCAGACATGCCTGCCCCTCAGCTATGTGGCCTGGACAAGTTATTCAGCCTGCCTTACTTTAATTTCCCCAAGGCCAGGTCCCTGAAAAGAACCTTCTGGAATAAGACCTTCTGGAGATTGTGGAGTTAGGGAAGGGGACATTCCAAACCTTCTTTTCAGAGAGAGGAAATTCTCAACTGGCAAAATTCCAGGCCCAGGGGTAGGCCATGCTTGGAAGCTCTGGGCAAAGTCCCATACAGGATGATTAATTCCTGGGAAACAGGCAGAGGGCTGAGCATGGGTGGGGGTGGTGGGGATCCTGGTGCACACCTCACACCCACCACCTCCATGTGGCTCTTCTTGGCATTTTCAAGCAGATGTCTGCAGGATTTCAGCGACGCTCCAAACTTCAGGCTTAGGCGGCTCAGGGAGTGGGAGTCGTCTGTGGCAATGCACAGCACCATCCTAAGGAAACAAGCAGTGCACCCTGCTGGGTGAATCCTGCCTGCGCCTCCCCAACCAGGTCTCCTCTGAACCCAGAGCTGGGGACTCATGTGGCTCAGAGCCAGCTGAGTCCACAGCCTCCCATACCCCTCCTCTCCTGCTCAGCCATCAACCCACTCTGTAAGTGTCCTAGGACCCATTCTTACATTCCTGGTCTACCTCGTCAGATCTCCCCTGGGCAGCTCCCATCCTTCCAAATCAGCCTCTACACCTGGCAGAGTTTTCAGACATTTCAAGCATGAGGGGAAACATTTTGCTGAAAAAGCCTTATGAAGAACCCTAGTAACACGATGGAAGCCACTTTGGGTAAACCAGAGTGGCCTGCCACTCAACCTGCTCTTCACCCAGGGCTCCTTCCTGGATCCCCAGGTACCTAGTAACCTGTAAAAGCCACAGCCAGAGCAAAATGTCCAGCCCTGACCCCTTCCAGAATCCACGTCTGCATGTCATTCACTGTGTGCTCTGCCCATCATGGCGTATTCCAGCTGCATCACATTGCTGCAGATTCCTTGGATAACCCATACTGTTTCCAATACCAGTCTGTTTGCTCATGTAGTTCACTATGTGCCCTTCCCAAATTTTATTCATTCCTCAGGGCCCAATTCATGTGCCATCTCCTCTTGAAGCTTTCTTGACCACCCCCACCCCCGCCCAGGTTCTCTCAAGCCTGAGACTTGACCTCCAATACCGTGGGTCTTCTCTGCCTGGCTTGTAACCAGTGCCTTTGATCTAGTCAGACCCTGGCATCCTGGGCCCAGTCAGAGAGCAGCCACCCCAACCTCCTGTAAGTGTGGCCAGGTCCAGGACGGGGTCTTCTCCCAGCTCCCCACACCTCCCACCCTTCCTGCCCACACCCAGCAGCCCAGCCTCCCTGCATGAGTGACTCTTAGCTTACTTGGCACTGGGGTGGCTCTTGACCACCTTTGCCAGCTCCATCTCATTGTCGAAGCTCAGTAGCCGCACCCCATGCTTAGCAGCATACTTGATCTGTGCGATTTGCTTACAGGGGTTGGCATAGATGATCTTACTGGCAGGGACACCAATGCGCTGGACCAACTCCATCTCTGCCTGTGGGGTCCCAAAGGTGGTGGTGAGGAGGCACCAGGGCCTGCTGGCCCATGGGAGCCAAGGAAGCACAGGTGAGGGGCAAAGTCTTAGCTACACATGGGGAGGTCCATAACAAGTGGGCCATCCCTTTAAGACAACAGATAAACAAAAATCAGGACTTCATGCTGATTCACTCACTCTGCGCTGCTGCATACAGCCATCCCGTGGTGCGCTGCACAATCCTGAGGAGTCCCATTCACAGCAATTAGAGGGGTTGTTCATACATTTATTATAACTCACTGGTAGTAAATCATCTAATTCTTATAAAATCAGCATATTTATTATAACAATTAAGTCTCTTAAGGGGTACATTTTCTAATTCATATGAAGGCCCTATAGGGACTCATGATGGTCCTGATGACAGGCTTCTGATACATTTTTCTGGCAAATTTAAATGTTAAATGAATATTACTTGGAAAACAGTATGGAAGTTCCTCAAAAAATTAAAAGTAGAGCTATTAGGATCCAGAAATCCCATACTGGGTATATATCCAAAGAAACTGAAATCAGAGCCAGGCACAGTGGCACAAACCTGTAATCCCAGTGACCTGAGAAGCTGAGGCAAGAGGATCGCAAGTTTGAGGCCAGCCTCAGAAACTTAGAGAGGACCTAAGCAACTTAGCAAGACCTGGTCTCTAAATAAAAATAAAAAGGTGCATGCCTATAATCCCAGCAGCTCAGGAGGCTGAGGCAGGAGGACCATGAGTTCAAAGCCAGCCTCAGCAAAAGGGAGTAAAATCTAATCTGTCTCTAAATAAAATACAAAACAGGGCTGGGGATGTGGCTCAGTGATAAAGCACCCCTGAGTTCGATCCCTAGTACCAAAAAAAAAAAAAAAAAAGGAGGAGAACGAAACTGAAATCAGTATGTCAAAGACATGTCTTCTACACTTTCATGTTCATGCCAGCATCATTCATAATTAGCCAAGTTATAGAATCAACCTAAACATTCATTGATGGATGAGCAGATAAAGAAAATGTTATACACACACACACACACACACACACACACACACACACAATGGAATACTCTTCAGCCTTAAAAAAGGAAAGATGTCTTGTCATTTATAATTTTTTTCTCTTGTGATGCTGGTAATTGATCCCAGGGGCTGCATACATACTAGGCAAGCATAGTACCACAGAGCCACATCCCCAGTGCCTGGAAATTAGTCATTTTTGATGACATGAATGAACCTGGAGGACATTATGTTAATTGAAATAAACCAGAGACAGAAGGACAAATACCATGTGATCACACTTGTATGTAGAGTCTAAAAAACTCAAATTTAAAAGAAGCAGAGAATAGAATGGTGTTGGCCAGCAAGATAGAGGAGCTGTGGGGAGAAGTTGTCAAAGGATACAGTGTCAAAGATAAGTCCAAGAGATCTCTTGTATGTCTTGGTGACTGTAACTAAGAACAGTGTACTGTATGCCTGGAAATTGCTAAGAGTAGATTAAGTGTTCTCATCACAAAAAAATGAATATGTGCATCAATGTGTTATGTAAGTTTGATTTAGCCATCCCACAATGTAAATATATATCAAAATATTATGTAGCAGCCAGGTGTGGTGGCACATGCCTATAATCCTAGCAGTTTGGGAGGCTGAGGCAAGAGAATTGCAAGTTTGAAGACAGCTTTGGCAACTGAGTGAGAACCTGTCTCCAAAAAAGAAAAAGAAAAGGGCTGAGATGCAACTCAGCAGTAGAGCACCCCTGGGCTCAATCCCCAGTACCACTCCCCAAAAAAATTATGTTGTATCTTATAAATATATATAACTTTGTCCACTTGATAAATAAGACCATTACTTTGTGTATTAAAAAGTCTATAAGACTGAGCACCTAGCTGGACACAGTGGTGCAAGCCTGTAATCCTAGCAACTCAGAAGGCTGAGGCAGGAGGATCATGAGTTCAAAGCCAGCTTCAGCCAAAGTAAGGTTGAGGCCAGCCTCAGAAACTTAGAGAGGACTTAAGACCTTGTCTCTAAATAAAGTACAAAAAAAATAGGACTGAGGATATGGCTCAGTGGTCGAGTGACCCTGAGTTCAATCCCTGGTACCTCCCAAAAAAAGACTGAGTAGATTTCTGGGAGATCACCCAGCCCCAAAGGTCTATGCTATGCAGGGTACCATGCTGGGTGACTCCAACTCAGCCCCTCTCCCCTAAGGCCTCCTCTTCCTCACCTTTTGTTTATTTGTTTGGTTTTTCTGGGTTTTTTTTTTTTTTTTTTTTTTTTTGCAAGGCTGAGGAGGGAACCGGAGAGCTTTGAGCATGCTAGGCAAATGATCTGCCCTGAGCTACACCCCCAGCTCTTCCTCACCTTTATAGAATACAGCACTACTTGATTGCTGCATTAATGGTACAGACAATGATGACTGGCGGTGGCAGCTATGAGAGTAGCCATGTTCATTGAGCACCTGCCACAAGCTGCCCTGACAGAGGTGCTTGATATGAAGTGTTGGTAGACCTTTTTTTGTAGAAGGTCTGAATCATATTTCAAGCTCTGCACATCATGTGATCTCTGTCACACTATTCAGTTGCCATTGTGGCACCAAAGCAGCCGGAGACAATGCATAAATGAAAGAGTATGGCTGTGATCCAATAAAACTTGATGCAGTCAGGTAGTAAGCTGGCTTTGGACCACTGTCCATAGTTTGCTGACCCCTGCTTTAAATGCATCAGTTTATTCAGTCCTTACAATAACCCATTCAGGCGGGTATTAGCTCCATTCTACACAGAAGGAAACTGGTGCTCAGAGAGGCTATGGAACCCACAGATGGCAAAACCAACTTTCAAATTCAAGTCTGACTCTTCATGAATAAGTGAAAGAAGTCAAGAGCGAGCCAGTTTTGAAACATGGCAGGAGACATAAGAGCCATTTGTAACCATCTGAGTTTGTAATTAAACTCTAATTTTTTATTTAGCAAGTTTTTAGCACTAGGTATTTATATGCATTATTTCATATAGTGCCTATACCTATCCTATGAAATATTTACTGGCCACATTTCACAGAGTACAAAATTGAGATCAGAGAGGTGCACCTGCCTATGAAGATACTGTCAGTAAGTAGCAGAGTAGGACACAAAGGTCCAGCTCCAGAGCCAGACTCAGTCCCCCCACAGCTTGCTTCCCAGAGGTGGATGTGGCCTCCACCATGAGGTCAAGTGCATGTGAAAGTGTGTTTTTGCTCCCTGCCTTGCCACATGAGGTGAGGGGAAGAAACAATGATAACACCTGTGGTTTAGCTTTGATTATAAATACTTAAATATTATCATTTATAAAGGCTCGCTATATGCCAGCCATTGCATTTAGTTTGAATTTTAAATGCATTCTCAATTAACCTTCATAATACTCTTATAAGTAAGAGACTCAAAAGAGGTTAGGTGACTTGTCCAAAGTCACATAGTTTATAATGAATGACACAGCTGGGACTGCAACTGCCATACCTCAACCTGCACTGACAGGAGTCTCTTGTGCATTTATTGAGTTCTAAGGCTCTCTGATGGGTGCTAATGAAAACAAGTCAGGCAGCACATCTGACCCCATGGAGCTTTCAAACTGCTGGGAAAGACAGGCAGTCACAAATGAATACTGAATAATGGTGGAATTATAAATTATTAAAAGGTTGAAGAAAAAGTACAGTATGCTAGAGAATGCTGGACCAAGAGACCTGGATGTGAGGGATAAAGGACAGCCTTTCTGGGGATCAGGAATTGAAGCAAAGCCTGCAGGGGGCCTCTGCCAGACCAAGAAGGAAGAAAAGAAGGTTTCCAGGAGACAAAGCAACCTGGACAGAGATTCTGGGGCAAGAAGGTGCTCAGGCAAACCAAAGAACAGCACTAGGTATTTATATGCATTATTTCATATAGTACCTATACCTATCCTATGAAGTATTTACTGGCCACATTTCACAGAGTACAAAATTGAGTTCAGAGAGGTGCACCTGCCTATGAAGATACTGTCAGTAAGAGGCAGAGTAGGACACAAAGGTCCAGCTCCAGAGCCAGACTCAGTCCCCCCACAGTATGTTGGCTTGGCTTGGGCAGGGTACATGTAGTGAGGAAGATGAGGTCAGAAGGTGGACAGAGCTCCCGAGAAAAACCAAGAAACTGCTGGTAGGTTTATAGTTTACCCTGAAGATGATGGAAAGAATTTTAAGAGTTTCAAGAAGGGAAATGACACAGTCAGAACTATATTTTAAACACAAGGTCTAAGTGTTTATTATTCTGTCACCTGAGGAGGGACCTGAGGGGATTCTGGGGAGAGTGGTCACTGGCTGTCATATTGCCCTGGGAGAGATGACATAACCAGCTCTGGAAAGACTGGGAGATGTGTTCCAGAGGCTGGCTACTAAGCTGATGATGGACGGCATGTAGGGATGAGGGGTGAGGATATGTGAGAGGCGCATACACTCCCAGCAGACCTAGGCGTCCTCATGAGAAGAAGAGGGGGAGATCAGGGGTGTGTGTGAGCAACCTGGTCCAGGCCTCTGCTGGCCAGTCAGCTAGACAGACAGGTAGGAGCTGGAGGTTAATATGTGAGAGGCTCTGGCATACTGATGGTATTTAAGCATTGAGATGAGATGAAATTCTCTAAGAGGAGGAAGACTTTACAAGAGAGGGGGTCTAAGACAGAACAAGGAGGAATGCTACCATTTAGAAAGCAGTAGGTGATGGGAGAAGCCTGGCCCAAGGACTCAGGAGAAGAGAAGAGGGAGACAAATCCACAGATGATAATGCCATTCTCAATGAGCAGCAGCGCCTAGTGAAGGTGGGGCGGCCCTTCAGCACACTCTGTCCTCTTACGTATCTCTGAACTCTCTAGGGCACACGTGAATGTTATTTTTAAGAATATGTTGCTGAGTAGAATGCAGTTAAGAGGTCAGATAGTGCCTGGCGGGGTGGCACACATCTGTAATCTCAGCAACTCGGGAGGCTGAGGCAGAAGGATCACAAGTTCAAAGCCACCCTCAGCAACTTATCGAGGCCCTAAGCAACTTGGAAAAAAACTGTCTCTAATAAACAATAAAAAGGGCTGGAGATGTGGCTCAGTAATTAAGTCCCCATCCCCCAAAGTTCAATCCCTGATACCAAATAAATAAATAGTAAAAGATGTCAGATAAAAAGAGGAGCAAGGAATATATTCAGACCAGGTCCAGATGTGTCAACATGGACATATCTCCAATACCTACTGAGTTTAAAGTTGTGTGGAACAGTATGTACCACGAGTGCTTTTTATATACTGTTAGAAAATTGCAACATATTTTATATACTCTCTGTGACTCGCTGATGTGTTTTGTAGATGCTATGTATCCACCAAACCCATAATGGTCATTATCTATGGAGACATAAAACTGATGCCCTACTTTATCTTTGGGTGAAGGAATCAATGTATTATCTGAATAACTCACAAATTACTGCTTCAAATAAAGTGCTCATTGGATCTTGAAGGTCCTTGGGGTATCTTGATAACAGGAAATTCTTTCCAGCAGTGAGAGTGAAGGCTGGGCAGCAGTGGCCTGAGGAGCGGTATTGGGGGACGAGGCATTGAGTGGGGACAGGCAAGCATGCAGACAACCCGGCTGATATGACCATCGTGGGGGAGCAAGGCACTGGGCTGGAGGAGGATGTAGTGTCTGAGGAAGGCTTCTAAGGATACAAGGAAGCTGAGGGAGTCAGCTAAGGACAAGGGATGGGTTTGGAATAATGACATAAGGTCCATGGGAAGAAGACCAGATGGACCTGAGCCCTGTGCTAGCCTGGCTCTGGAACATGTCGAATGGGTGTCTGTCTATACATCCAGCCCTAGCTTATGCCAGGCCCTTCCCTTGGTCAATGTCCACTACGGCATGGTGCCATTAATCATGTCCACCCACTAATATCAACCAGAAGAGGGCAGCCTCTCCCCTTTAAGAAAAATTCTAAGTCAGACTGAGAATGGAGCTTAAGAGAAAGTGCTTGTCTAACAAATAGGAGGCCATCTCCAGTGCTGCAAAGAAAAAAAAAAAACAAAACTTTTAATTCCCAGGAGCCACCTCTCTGTAAATGATGCCCCAAAGGGTCTGAATGATCCGAACCACAGGAGGGAGCTCAGACCTGTACTTGCCCTTATAGGGAAATGAGGGCAGACGACACTAGCCAAGTACCAGCTCAGCCACCTCCTTTTCCAAGGACCTTGGAAAAGACAACAGCAATGGAGTTGGAGATCACATTGCTAGACTCAAGCTGTCACCTCACAATGCATGACCCTGAGCAAATCTCTCAACCTCTGTGCTTCATTTCCTTATATGTGTAATGTGTCTCCACAAGACTGTTGTCAGAATCCTGATAAAATAATGACCTCAGAGAGCTGTTGCGAGAAAAAAATGAGATCATGTACAGAAACTTCTTGGCAAAGTGCCTGGCACAGCAGATGCCCTCAGCAAACAGTAGAAGTTTCTGCCATCTTCAAGGTCTCCTATGCCCTAGCACCTAGCATTTCTGCCCTTTGGAGGCCAGCCCCAGAGACTAAAAAGCCAGGCACCTCCTCCCTGGGTTTCCAGAAGCACAGCACTTCAGTCAGTGAGGTTTTGTCCTATCCTTCACCTCTAGACTAGGGGAACCAAAGGATCCTGTTCCTTCTCGCCCCAAGTGGAGGCCCAGTGTGCTGCAGGAGGTGGCTTGGAGGACAAAAGTCTTGGCTCTGGATTTCTTCCCACGAGCTTCACAGGGCTTTATGTAAGACACACATAATATGAGATGTGCAAAGCAAGAGCAAGAGACTCACCACCAAGAAGAGCAGGAGTATTAACATTCACTCCCCAGCAAAGGACCTTGTTCTGATCACTCCACCCCCATGCACACCTCTCCCCACCATCCTGTCCAGGCTGGATCTCTTCCTGTCTATTCCAGCAGTCCTTTCTAGAACTCTCCTCACAAAATCCAGCTACCTTGCCCATCAGGGTTTAAAAGGAAGTTCCCTCAAAACAACCATTATTAACCATCTAGAAACTGAGAACAGCAACAATATCCCAAAACAATGCTCAGCAGGCCTGTTCCTATCTCAGAGCTTTGCACCTGCTGTTCCCTCTGTCTGGAATGTTCTTCCCCTAGCTATCCACCTGGCTTGATCCCCTGCCTCCTTCAGATCTGCATTCAAATTTCAGCACAGCCTTCCCTGGCCAAAACAATGCAATGCTATCACCCAACATTCCCTACTTCTCTTTCCTGCTTCTTCACCCCAGCGTTTTTTACAACCTAAAACACTGTTTTCACAGTTTCCTTTGTTTATTTTTTTAAAAAGCAAGCTCCATGAAGGAAGGGCTTTTTTGTTTTGTTTGATTCATGGCTAAATACCCACCTAGAATAATATTTGGCCCCACTCTAGCTGCTCAATAAATATTTGCTAAATAAATGAGATATGTTCAAAACCATACCCTGAGGAAACTTTATAGCTTAAAGGCTTTTTAATCTAGTCAGAACAGAATGAAAAAAGATGAAGTAGGCATTCTACTCAAGGACAACAGAGTTTGTCTTGTGCAATGCTATACCTCTAGCTCTACCAAGCAGTCACAATTGTGGTTCAATGACTATTGAGTGACAGTACATAAGCAAAGTTGATCAAAAGCCAGTAGGAGGAATTAAGATAACAGCAGAAATCAAATTAGAAAGCCAGTAAAATTGGCAGCAACAACAAAATTGTAAAAGGATTAAAGAAAAGCACATTCACACATTAATATTATAAAAGAAAAAATAAAACCAACAATGTAGATGTGTTTTGTTTTGTTTTAATTGGAAGAATACCACATATAGCTCTATGCCAAGACATTTAAAAACCTCCTTTAAAAAAGAGACCCATCTACCCAGGGACACACAATGTTCCAATTTGGAACTTCAAGTCTAATAAAGTTCATGCTCATTTCTTCCTCCCTCATCCCTGGAGCCTCCTCCTGAGTGGATGGCTTTCCCAGAAGGTAGGGACCAACTGCAGGTCACTCTTTCCCAGGGCCCAACCACCCATCAGGGCCACAATCAGTAGGCATCAAAGATCAGTGCCCAGGTGAGGGCAGGAGCTCACCTTGTTAGCACAGCTGAAGCCCAGCCCCAGCTCAGCCAGGACCTTCAGCACACCCAGGCTGCTGTTGCACTTGACAGCATAAAAAGGCCGGACTCGAGGCAGGCACTTCAGAAAGCAAAAGTGCTTTCTCACCACGGCACCCAGGTCTGCCACAAAGAAGGCAGCAACCTCGCCCTGCACAACAAGAGGTGGATAGATGTGAGACACTACAATACCCAGCTCCCTCCCGGTGCAAGCCATCCATAATCATTCCAAATACCTACCTCCAGTTCAGTTCTGGCCACAAAGTTACCCTGTTGTGTAGGATGGAAGGCAAACTCCTTAGCCTGGCATTCAAGGCCCTGTGATCCAGCTCTCACCCCTCCCCTCAACATAGCTAAAATGCCAACTATAGGCTGGATCATTTTTCTACCTCCAAGCCTTTGTTCCCACCGACTCCTCCACTGGATTTAGCAAAATCCCAATCTACCTTCAGGTCTCCTTCCAAATGCCACCTACCCCAAACCTGTGAAGCAACTTAAAGCCTTGAATGCTGCTGTTGCATTTTGCATGTGCTTCCAAAGTAACAGGACTGCATATGCATCAGTCTGCACCAGGAAAGGCAGATGCTGTGGCCTACAGCCCACCACCTTCCACACACAGTTGCTCATGAAGCCTTGAGGTTGTCCCACTGCCACCACAAGCAACACCTATTGGCAACTGGTTATCACAAACTGGCTTGAAGGCTGAACATGTATGAGCCTGGGTAAGATACATTATTTAGACCTTCCTTGAGACTCATTTTCCTTTTCCTGCAACACTTTTTTCCTCATGCCCATCTTTCGTATTAGATAGGCTGCTAAGGGACAGAGATGATCAGACAGGTTTCTAGCCCTAAAGGGGCTTCAGTCAGAAGAGACACCTTCAGTGAGTGCTAGCAGGATGTTTCCACAAAATGTATTGGGGGCCACAGAGAAGGAAATAAAATCTGTGCTTGGGGCAATCAGGAAAAAGCAACACAGATGAAAAGAAAGGAATACTAGAAATGGGTAAAGGGGAGAGGCTTTCTGGATGTTCTCTGTCTGGATGTTCCAGACAGAGAGGACAGCCTGGGTAAAGTCAGGGCAATAGAACATAAGGCATCACTGGGAAATATGAATAGAGTAGTTCAGCTCTGATGGAGCATAATACATACTGTGGGATTATAAAGGCAGAAATGGGGCAACAGAATTCTGATTTTGAGCAGGGCTATGATATAGTTAGAAAGGTGGGATGAAACAGGGGGTTGTTGCTCAGGAGGCCTTTAGAGAGATGAGGACTGAACTACATGATGATGAGGACTGAACCCCTGGAGGGTTATTTCAGGAGGCAGACCCCACAGAGATGGGTGATGTTTACATGTGGGAGGTAAAGGAGGAAAAGTAGAGAACTCCCAGTCGGCTGTACTGAAAGGCTGGGTACAAGGCATTGATACTGTTTGTTCATCAAGGCAGGGAACACAGGAGGGGCAGATTTGGAAACTGGAGATAAAATGAGCCAGTCTCTGGCAAATATTTAGGACTGAATACCAAATAAGTGGAAGAATAATATGAGGGCCCTAGGAGCCCCTCCAGAGGAGAGGACAGGGGACCCATCCCCCACTCCCAGCCTCTCACCGTGGTGGCCTGTGAGGCCCCCAAAGTGAGTTCCTCCAGCAGGTCTTTGGTACTGAAGCCCTCCTCCACCATCACAAAGTCCGATTCACTCAGGTAGCCAGCCATGCTGAGCAGGAACAGCCGCTGCTGCCGCCGCCGCCTCCGCCTTAGAAAGTATGCAACACACTGGGGGGGGGGGCGGAGACGAAGAGGAGGAGGAGGAGGAGGAGGAGAAGGAGAAGAGAGATGGAGGGCACAGCTAAGAGGCAGGATCCGCTGCGCCCCTCGCCTTCCAAATTTCGTCACGCCCCGCCCCCAGGACAAGCTTGGGAGTTTGGGTTCACTGGGAACGTTGGGGACGATCAGGAATTCTGGATGGGACAAAACATTGTATGCCTAAATGTCATGTCTGTCAGCCTCAGTTGCCCCACTTGTAAAATGGATGGATTGTTTTGGAGACCATTTCCAGTTCCGAAATTGTGGGTTTGGAAAGAGGTAAATAACAAGAGGGCAGGAAATCTAAGACATCTGGGTGGGGAAGTTTCCAAGGCGCCCCCAATCCTGACCACGCCCACCTAGAGAGGATGCCTTCGGTCAAGCCAAAGATTCTCAGCCTGAAAACAGCAGCTTAGATTCGAGTCCGCTCTCTGCTATGTGACCTTGGGTACTTTCCGACCCCTCTCAGAGCTCGGTTTCCCCGTTTGTAAATGGTTGGTCCTGTCATGCTAGAATTCTAAGCAAGCATGAAGGTGCCACATGGTGGGCGGGGTCTGCGGGCTCTGGGGCACGAATCTAAAGCAGGGATTCTGCCGGACTGACCCCTCTCGAGCGCAGGGCTGAGGTTCCGTCCCAACCCCCATACCCCCTTACCAAGCCCCGTCCTCCTTCGCGGGGGCCAGAGCCAGGCGCGCTGCTAGGGGGGGTCGCCGGTGACCTCGAAACTTGTGCAACACCCCGAGAAGGAGTGGCAGTTGCGGAGCCGAGGCCCCTGCTGAGAGGAGGCAAGAGGGGCCAGGAGGCAGGTCAGCACCGAAGCCGAGGGCGCCCGCTCCCCGAGGCTCCCCAAGCCACTCCCTGCACTCGCCTTAAAACGCATTTACACGGCTTCGGCCCATAGGTCTCCCTAGCGAGTGAATCGGATCCTCGGCGCCTCCGCTCGCTCGCTCCCCCCGGCTCCGGCCCCGCGGCCTGCGCCCCGCGCGCCCAGCAGCCACCGACCCCACGCCCCGCCTTCCGCCTGCTGTCCTCTTATATAAGCCCCGCCCAGGCCCCGCCCCTAGGGTCCTAACTCCGCCTCTGCTAGCTCCGTCGCCCTGGCAACCGGGTGCCGCTAGCCCATTGGTCGATTCGGACATAAAGCATTCAGCTCTGCTTGTGGGCTCCGCAAACCTGCGCCGCAGTCCCTCGCGGATCCTTCTCCGAGGTTACCCAAGCTGGGAAGTGGGAACGGCAGAGCCACCACAATTCACAGCGTCTACACAGGTATCACCTTTAGATCCTACATCTTGGGTCTTGGGGGGTGGGCAGAAAGCCCACCCTTGAAGTGGCTCCAAGAAGCCTTTTCTGAGTCTGGTCGAACTCCATGGTGCCTTTCTCTTCTTTTCTCCCCCTTGTGAAGTGTTCGCTCACCCACTAAAGCCCAGGATAAATGTCATCTCCTTATATTACTTTCAAATAAAATCTTTTTTATTAAATTGCCTCTTCCTGACTCCACCAAAATTTTTTTCTGACTCCACCAAATCGAAACCCAAGTCAAATGTGTTCAGAAAGCCTTTTTTGTGACATTCCAGGCTCAAGTGGTCCCTCCCTCCTTCACCCTCCGAATCTAGCAAACTCGTGGTCCTCAAGTGAAATGTGTCTCCTCCAAGAAGCTTTCTCTGACTTTCTCAAAACAAAGCATTTCTTAACTTCTGTATCAACAAACTCCTGCTTATTCATCAGAGTCCAGTCCAACGTCACCTCCTCTGTTGAGCCTTCCATGACTTACCTAAGGGACAATGGAACTCCCACTACTTCTGTCTACCCCGACTTCCCACTCATTTGACTCTTGTTATCTGTAACTGAAATTCCTGTTGTTACTTTCTATTTGTCTGGCAACATTTCTCAGTTACTTTTTGATCCCCAAGGACAGGGATCCAGAGCTTGGCTTTGCAGAGTGCTCAGCACCTGGTATATGCAGGAGTTCAACAAGATGCTCTGATAGCTCGAAGGCTAATTTCAAAAGTTCATCTGGAACAGTCATTGAAGAATAGTCAACACATTCTTGTAAAAGAAGAGAGAGAATTTTCTCTACTAGATATCAAAAAATATTTTTATTAGGTGACAGTCTTTAAAACAGCCTGATGCTAGAGCAGGAAGAGACAACAATAGGATAGAAGAGAGTCTAGAACAGTTCTGTATACATTGGAGAACTTGATACACAATGAATGCAGCATTTACAATCAGTAGGGAAAAGATCTGGTAGTCTACCATGTGTGATCATGTCCCCATTCAGGCTATAATTTTGTCCTGCCTCAGTATCTCCCTAGGACATTCTGTGAAACCTAATCAGAACATGCTTGGTACACAGATGAGGCAGGGTAGTGACGATGGAGACAGGGAGGGCCATTTTCTGCTCCCTACTCAACCAAGCCACACAGGACAACTGAGTATCCTTGGTGAGTCACTGCCTGGACCTAGGTCACTTCTGCATGGCTAGATTCCCCGCTGTGGATTCAGAGTTCAGACTGATTTCTCTGGGACTTCCTGCCTGGAAACTTGATGCTTTCCAAGAACCTTCCTGGAAGCAAGCAGCTTTACAGCTTTACAACTCAGTTGCAGGTTCCTCCTTCAAGAGATTAGTAGTTATTTACTCTATACTATGAGAACAAGCATCTTTTTTAAAATATATATATATATTTTTTTTAGTTGTAGTTAAACACAAGACCTTTATTTTATTTATTTTTATGTGGTACAGAGGATCAAACCCAGGGTCTCGCACGTGCTGGGCAAGCGTTCTACCGCTGAGCCACAATCCCAGCCCCAAGAACATTCAGCATCTTTATCCTCTCTCAATAAGAGCAAGTTCTCATGTGCACCCACAAAAATGGTATCCTAATTTATATTCCATATATGTGTGTTAAAATACACTCTACTATCATGTATATGTACACAAAAAAATTTCTAAAACGAAGAGCAAAGTCCTCCTGAGAAGACGCATCTACTGAGACTGAGTAGAACAGGACAGCCATAGCAGAAATCTCAAAATATGATGTTGAGAGGAGGGGAAGGGCACCCAAACAACTTTGCCTCTACTTTTTAATCATCCTTTGAGTTGTCTGTGTTTGGATGCTATTGTCTAGCTCACCACATTTTCTCATCACCTGTTATGTAGTAGACACATAGTAGGTACATTTAGCATGTTTACTGAATGAGTCCACATAGGTAAGAAGGAACAAACAAACTGGACAGAATCCAGTCTGTCCACTTGTAATCTGTAAGAGTAGGTAATCAGAGCAGAAAAATCTACATCCTGGGTTGGGTAAAGATAGGATGTGTCTTTATCTTTTTTTTTCTACTGGACATGTTATGTCATTAAATCGCCATGAGAACCCTATGTCATAGGAGCTATAATTGTTCCATTTTATAAATAAGGAATCCGAAACTCAGAGTAATTCAGTAGCTTGCCCAGGATCACACAGCAAGTAAGGGTGAAGCCCAGATTTAAATGCAAGTCTGGTCTGAGGGGTATGTGGCCCAATGGTAAAGTGCTTGCCTAGTGCTATCGTTCAGATCTAGAATGCCCCCCGCCAAGGGCTCATGTGTTGAAGGCTTGGTCTCCAATGCAGCAAAGTTCAAAGGAAAGTGATTGGATCATGAAGGCTCTGACCTCATTACGGATTAATCCATTGATGGATTCATAATTTGATGACACTATTAGGAAATAGTGAAAACTTTTAGAAGGTGGGGCTAGTAAATCTTATCCCTAGCCCTTCCTCTCCCCCCACCTTCTGTACTAGGTATTAAACCCAGAAGGCCTTTACCACCCAGTCAGCCCATTCAATTAAAAAAATTGTAGTCATACATGGACAGAATGCCTTTATTTTATTTGTTTATTTTCATGTGGTCCTAAGGATCAAACCCAGTGCCTCATACATGCTAGGCAAGTACTCTGTCACTGAGCTACAGCCCCAGCCCTCAATTGAGACAGGGTCTGGCAAGGTTGCTTAGAGCTTCACTAAATTTGAGGCTGGCCTTAAATTTGCAATCTTCCTACCTCAGCCTCCAGAGTCAATGAGATTACAGGTGTGTGCCACCTCTCTCTCCTTCTATCCCCACCACTCTTTCCCTCCCTCCCTTCCTCTCTCCTTGTAGGCCACAAGGTGAGCTGCTTCTTTGTTTTCCTCAGGTATATTGTCACAAAAAGCAAGTTCTCATGTGGACAAAAAGCTGACTGAGAGACTTAGCATGTGTAAGACCCTGGGTTCAATCCTCAACACAGAAAAAGAAAAAAAAAAAAAGAAAATTCAAATCTGTCCTGACCCTTAACCTTTATACCTGTGACTACCAACCAGCAGCTGAGAATTCTGGCCCCAGCTCAATAAAAGCTACCCAGTCACCCTGATAGCATTCGTCTCAAAGGTTCCTCTCCTGAAGTCTCTCATATCACTAAAATCTGACCCTCCCTGGTTGCTCTGCAGGGCCCTCAAGAACACAGAGCTAAAGCAGAACAAAGAGCCTTTGATCGTCTCATCCAATTTCAACCCATTCCTCTTAAATCAGTCATATATGAACATTGCAATAATCAAAATGCCTAAAGATGCATTGAATTGCAAAATACTTTTCTGTTCAGGGTTTATTCAGGCTTCCTAAAATTCTACCTGTATTAATGTCCTAGGGCTCCCAGAAAGAAAGTACCAACCACGGGTGGTGTAAACCACAGAAATGTATTGTGGAGCAGTTCTGGAGGCCAGAAGTCTGCAGTCAAAGTGTTGGCAGGCTGGCTGGCTCTAGGGAGAATCCTTCCTTGCTTCTTCCGTCCTCTGGTGTTTGCCAGCGATCTTGCGGGTCATGGTGTGTGGGTACATCACTCCAGTCACATGGCTGTCTTTTCTGCATCTGTATTCATGTCATCCTCACTGCACATGTCTGTCTCTGAATCCAAATGTCCCCTTTAAAGAAGGGTACTAGTTGTATCCTAACCCACCCTAATGATCTTATTTTAATTTGCTTACCTCTGGAGAGGGGGGAACCTCATTTCTAAATAAGATTGTATCCTGTGGTATCGGGAGCCGTCCATGGGTTGCATGTGGGTCACTGTGCATAGAAGCCTCATGGATAGAGACATCTGGTGACTGGGAATGAGCAGTGGACATTTCCTCTGGTCAATTACCCAGGGACAATGTGAATCTCTATCCTGGCTCTGCCAATGGCCCACACAGCACCTGAGATGGGTGTGACCTGCCAAGATGTCAATCAACCTGAGGACTGCAAGACATCCAGAAGTAAGACTCCATCCTTGAAACCTTATCCCTGCCTTTGATGCACCCCCTTAAATAAACCATCAGAGCCATGTTTGTTGTCTTTTGTCTACTTCTAGAACCCATGTGGACTAGATCTAGCATGGGCTTCACCTTCTTTAAATATATTTCTGAGTATTTGTGCCTTGTTATTTACTAATTATTTGAGATTCTAAGTTTTAGGGTGGCTTGGATTATCCTATACAGAAAGAAAGACCCTTTAATGAGACCCCCTGGACGTTGTCCCACCTCCCATATTGTAGTACTGGGGTCAGGACTTTTAACACATCTTTTTGGGGGAGGCACAATTTAGCCCATACCACAGCTGAACACTTCTTATCGAGTCATTGCCATGAAATAGATTCATGATAACAACTGGCTTCAAGGGAAGGGAGGTGGCAAGACCTAGTCTTTAGTTGGGTATATTCCTGTGCCTCCCACATTGCAATAAGGTCAAAATACTAAGGAAGTATTCTTGGGTATTGTGTGGTGACTGGTAGTCTCAGCCACAAGTAGGGAAGATTACATTCCCTTTTAAATATCAATATACCAGCCAGGCACCATGATGCATGCCTGCGATGCCAATGGCTTGGGAAACTGAGGCAGGAGGATCACAAATCCAAAGCCAATCTCAGCAATTTGGTGAGGCCCTAAGCTACTTAATGAGACCCTGGCTCAAAACAATTTTTTTTAAAAAGGTCTGGAATGTGCCTCAGGGCTGAAGCACATTTG